AAGCCATCGAGATGTTTTGAACTCCTCAAAGATTTCTTCTGTCCTTGCATCCAGTCTTGATTGAGAAACCTTCGGATTAAGTCGCAGTAGTCGCTTGCCAATCTCATTTTTGGCGTGTGCGACAAACTTGGATCACGATATGCGTCTGTGGAGGCAAAATTGTCACTCCCCTTCTTCTTTTATAGCCATTACCCAGTTCCCTCTCGCCAATGCAGGTTGGAAGTGGTGGGGGTGCCATATAATGTGATGACCCCATACATTGTCAGGCATCACCGTATAATCGTCTCGACACATAATAGGTCCAGGAAGTCGTGCAATGTTCGGAGGGATGATGTCTTCAATCTCGTACTCCAAAGGCTCAGAAGGAGGTGGTTGAGGAGTTTGAGAGCGTAGCAATTCCAAAACAGTAGGCGGGCTATGTGCAAGTGCTGACAGACTTGCCATAACCTCTCGGGAGAGAATTGCCTGCAGCCTCGGATCATCCCGAACTGCGCCGGAAGATAGCGCTGTTGTGTTGCCCACCATGTAACTGGTCCGTTGAAACTGGTCCGTTGTAACTGCCATACTCGAAGCCCCCGCAGAACCGGACGATGTGCCCGGCGCACCCATCTTCTGCGAAGCCGAGCTACAAACTTTTTGCCTCTCATCTGCGAAAGCCGCTTGCAAAGTACCAAAATTACTTTCTTCCTCTGAGTCCTCAGCATCGAAGCCTTCCCCAAAACAAGTTGCATAAGCTGCGATTGTAAACGCCCCGATTTGTTCGTCAAAGTACATCATCTCCAAACGGTCTAGAAATGCAACTTCAGTCTCCGCCGGTGCCTTATGATACCCCCTCAGAAGTGATTCCATTTTTCGCCTTCTAACGACATATGCACGTTCCCCTCTGTTTTCTGGCTTAGTCTCGAAAAGGAACTCCCAAATGTTGACGATGTTTTTGCCGACTTTGTAGACAAGATCACGTTTTTCATTATGTCGAGGAGGCGGCTTAACAAATTTGGCGAGGTAAAGTCCAGTCTTGACCATCTTGGTGACGACGCCGCATGGCATTTTCCCAGGAAAACAACCGCCTCATCCGCAGGACAAAAATGCTCCAATGTCTCCACCATCGCATTTGACTCCCTTTCCATACCTTCGTACACCAATTTCTCCCTTACCTCCATACCTGCCATTTTCAACTTCGTGGGCGTGAAGTTCTTCTCCACGACATCAACCAACATCTTTGGCCTTCTCTCTCTGCGCACAAGTGCTGATAAGTCACCCGCCTGCTCGCCAGATGATCGATCTGCAGCTGGAGTGCTTGCCAGAATGTCTTCAAGCAAGGGAATAGTGTTGCGGTGGTAATCCCCATCGTTGGAGTACATGATGACAACGATTCTGTTTGTGTCTTCCAAAGGCAAGTTCGCAACCTTATATAAATGCTTCACCTTCGTTTGTAGCTGACGAGTCCACTTTAGAATAGACAAGTGAATGTCAATCTCCCAACTTGTAACTCGCTTGAAAAATGTATACTCGCAAGACCGCGGAACGAAACACAATAATGTCCAATAATCACCAGTCAGTTTTCCCATGAACTTCCGCAGACCATCAAAGACTTCTTCAGTCCACACCGCTATCTGGGTTGGGTGACATAAATCCAGCACGACCGTGTGGCAACTCAGATGTTTGACGACTCTATATATTTTCTTGGAATCCATCTCGTCTGAAAAATCGCTTGGTTCCCGTTGGAATGGGACGAAAACAAAGTTTACGTTCTATCTTTTGAAATGTATATATTGCGCCGAGCCCGACATTCTTATGCTTTCCGAACCCCTGGTTTCCCATCTGCGCAACAGCTTGTTGACAAACTGCACGAACTCTTCGGGGCACTTCGCAGCAAGTGACGCTGTTCTCTTGAAGCCCTCTTCTCATTTTTCCTCCTCTCCTCCAAGTGTAGGCGGGAACGTTCGCACCCAACTCATCTCTTTGAAATGGTGACGATGGTCGATCCACCTCTCGGACGTCAATCATTCATCAGAGTACTTATCAAACAAATCGGAAAGGTTGTTGAAGAATGGTTCCGTCCACTCTTACGACTTCCTGTGAGGGTCAGAAATGAAGACGAAGTAGTGAAACATCCTCAACATTGCTTTTTCAATCTTCACCATTTCCACATATGTTTCCGTTGAATGTTTCCCGGTACGTTCAGCAGCTCCACTTCGCTTAGGAGTCAGTATCACACTGCCTGTGAGAATGTCTCACAACAATTGCAGCCGCTCACGCCTCCCAAGCGCTGAAAAATTCTTCCACGCTCTGATATCCGGATCGTGCACAGCCACGAGGTAACCAGGTCCTTTGGTACCCTGAACCCAGTGAACCGGACACGTAACTCCACCTTTCAACTCAAATCCGGGTCCAGCCCTCGGTGCCTTCCCTGATTCACCTTGTTTGGTAGCAGCTTTACAACATCTCTCCCCGACAATTGTCCAGCTTCCCAAGCGGCGTACACTTGTTTCACCTTTTCGAAAACGTCATCTGTCGCCCTTGCCAACAACATGTAGGGCCCGAGGGTGTCAGACCACAGGTCGCTCCACTGAGTAGTAAGGGACATGTCAATCAAATTACGAATTCCGGTCAAACGAAGAGTCTCTCCCGCAAAATTTCTATACTCTGCATTTTTCACTTCTGCCGCTGAGCTGCCTTTAGCTTCAGGACAGTTCGACTCGTGCCACAACTTCCGTATGTTCTAGACGACCACGTTCTGGTGCGGTGGGGTATTCCATTTGTCCTTGGAGTTCTGGAAAGTGCTCAGCGTGCCGTAATTGTCCATGCTCTTATCCGGATAATAAACAAGCCTCGCAGTCCAGCGATCCAATCGGAGCTCTTGTGCGATGTCAGGGCGTTCAACAAAACACCTTCTTGCCGCCGCCACGTTATGCTGACCGCTGAGAGGGTAGTAGTAGTACTTGTTCACAAATTCGAGATCGAAATCATCGCGCAGCACCCTCCTTGCTCTCACAATCCTCCCTGAAGCGTCAGTATGCAATGTATCACGGAGGGCAACCAACAAAAGGACAGGCTTCTCATACAACGTACAAACATTCACACCGGCAGCTCCAGTCATCCTCTCTCTCATAGCAGCCTCACCCGATGCAATCACTGCGTCATAAATGTCGTCAACCGTCTGCTGTACAAGATAACGTTGATTGTATCTGAATTCCCCGTCCGGGATATCCAGAGTTCTGTCGAACTGGACATAAATGAGTTCCATGTCTAGACATTGGTTCCCATGCTCGTCCAACTCAAGGAAAAAGTCTTTGCTAAAAACACCAGAAGAAGTCACTGATGGCACATTTCGCAAACTTGGCGGCCTAGTAACTGTCTTGCCTTTGGCTTCTTCATCCGATTGTGGTTGTTCCGCTGAAAAAACAGAAGTCTTTTCCATAACACCACCTTTTGCCTTTCTTTTCTTTGGCTGCTGCTTTTTCTTCGTGGCTGCCTCAGTCTCCCTCGTTCGCTGGACCGCCTCATCCACGGGCATTATTTTCAATCGTCTTTTTTCACCCGCTTCTTGCCTACTCCGTTTATTGTCCATAAGACTTTTCCTCTCCCGCCTGTGCTTCCTCTTTCGCTCAGCGAGCCCTGCAGCATCTGTATGCCCAGCCACAGCCACTGTCGCGTGCACATCCCCCTCATATCCTTCGTAGCTGCTCCCATATCCTCCTGCTGGACCAACCTCCCCACCCGATGCGCTCACATTGTGTTCACTGTCTTCATCCTGTCCAACCACTTTACTTGTCTCTCCTGGATGCCTTGTCATGCCGCTGACACCCGCAGCATACTATTCCTGTCCTCTTGCTCGTTCCGAATATTCCTTGCTGTTCTCTTCATCCTCATCTTCAAAATACTCATGGACTTCCTCTATGCGGCCCGACACAGTGTAGTCATAGCGCTGCTGGCCCACCAAGGGGAGATGTCCCTTGGTGGCCACATCATAGCGCGATTGGCTGCCCAAGGCAACTGGTGTTTTGGTCGTCGTTGGCCTGGTCTTCATAGGGGCTGACGGTACGACCAGTCCGCGGCACGGACCCTTCTCTCCTATCTGCCCAGCTTTCGGACCAGGCGGCGTATCACGGATCGTGATCGAAGGCCTTATCTCCACGGTTCTCGAAAGGACGCATTTAGGCTCTGATATGCGGTCCTCTAGATGCACAACCGACTCTCTGCCCGTGATCACATTACTGTCGAAAAACCCGTGGACGTCAACGAGGTTAGGCAACTTCACTTCCAATGTCCCTGGTGGGTTGAACACATCAACCAATGACTTTTCAAACCCCGTGTGTTTGGCCCATCGAAGAGCGACGTGTTTAATGTTTGGTATTCTTTCCCCTCTTCCATTCAGGACCATCGTCAACTCGAAAGTTGCAAACGACACATTTTGCCCAGTCCACCTCACCAGGCCGCCAACCGGCACAATATTTTCTTTGATGACCACGTATAGAACAAGGCCACTCGATGGTTGTCCGGTCTCCYCCACCCAGTCCAGCATCCAKAACTTGTCCTTGTGGTCAATCACGGGGACATCGTCTCGCCGACCCGCGGCAGTCGTTTCACCAGACGGTTTACGTTCGCCAGACGGTTTACGTTCTCCAGACGGTTTGCGTCTGGGCATAATTTCCACTGCAGATCTCCCCTGTTGTGAACCAGGCACGCGTTCCTGACCCGCAGGCCCGCCAGTCATCAACACAGCCTTATCCGGTCCAGAGCCCCGAACACGAGTCGACGGAGTGCCCGTGGAAGGTGCACCCCTCGAAACCGGGGTGCGTTGCAGCTTAGACTCCGGTGCCTCCAGACTCCCAACCCCAGCGGCCGGCGTCCCCTTCGATTTTTTCGGAGATTGTTTCATGCTCCCTGAATTCTTACTTGCTCGTCGTTTACTTGCCTTCCCCCCTCCTTCCATGTTTTGTAGTGCTGCCTAATCTGAAAGTAACACAGCACATCACCGCGAAGCAAAAAATCAGAAGGCCGCACAATGTTGGCATGGAACGAGGAGCAGAAAAGTTCCAGATAGTAATAAGGCAACATCTCCTTTGTGATGAGGCATCCACGATCGTGTTCAACTCGATCGTGATCGTGTCCGTGGTCAACACAATCTCGTTCAGCGCGAGAGTGACAGGCCAACTCGATCGTGAGTCCCGGCTTATCGTGTTCAACTCGATCGTGTCCGACTCGATTCTGATCGACTCGATCCCGTTCGACTCGATCGTGTTCGACTCGATCGTGCTCGACTCGATCGTGTTCGACTCGATCGAGTTCGACATGATCGTGCTCGATTCGATCGTGCTCCACTCGATCGAGTCGAACACGATCGAGTCGAACGTGATTGAGTCGATCATAATCGAGTCGGACTCAATCGAGTCGAACACGATAAGCCACAATGGAGGTCGATTCGTGTTGGATCGTGTTGGACACGATCATGAGTACAGGCGATCGTGAGTACAGACGATCGTGAGTCCACATCGAGTCGATCATAATCGAGTCGGACACGATCGTGAGTCCAGGCGATCGTGAGTACAGACGATCGTGAGTCCAGACGATCGTGAGTCCAGACGATCGTGTTGGATCCGATCGTGAGCCCAGACGATCGTGTTCGACTCGATCGTGTTCGACTCAATCGTGTTCGACTCGATCGAGATCAACTCGACGGAGGTCGATTCAATCGAGTTCGACTCAAACGTGGGGGGCCAGCGCGACAGTTTGACACGACCGGGTTGGCAAACAGAACACGGGAACGAGACAGCGTATCCAAAAGCAGACAAACAGAACACGGGAGCGGCGCAGCTAAAAGTCACATCAAACAAAGCAGAAGGATCGAAACCCGGCATCGACAATTTCACATCAAACCTGTTGCTTTCATAACACACACAGTCTAAGTCCACACGGTTGCTGAATGACCCACATTTCTCACACTGTTCATCTTTCGCTGAATAGGAAGCGGAGTCACGAACAAGGCACACCAATCAAGGCACATCAATTGGAAGCCTACATCCATCATCAATTCAAGGCATGCAATTGGCAAGGCATGCAACCGGCACCCGCAACGAGCGACTAACAGTACGCTCCACCGATCACTAAACACACACACGCACACATAAGAGAGAGAAAGAGAGAGAGATGTTAAACCGGCGTCGACAAGCTCACATCAAACTCAATGCTCGCATGCATACATAGTCTCAGGTGTCACTTTTGCTGAACAACTGAATAGCTGACATGTCCTACACTGTTCATCTCCCATGACCTCCCCCTCGACCTCGCCTATCCTTTCGCCCCGAAACCGTACACTGCGTTCAGGGATGAACCGTACGTCAGAAACTGTGGACTGCACAGGGTTGCAGTGGAGGAGAAGCAAGACACATATCGTGCACGGACGAAACCACATGATCTCGCTAAAGTTCGACCGATGGCGTCTCTAATGACCTTCACGTACTCCTCGACCTCCTCCCAATGCCAGGGTGTATGACCTGCCCCGCCAGTTTCACGTCAAAGCTACCGTTCCTCCAACCATGCGTTAACATAATCGAGTCCCCGTCAACGATGAGCTCGTTCCTGGACACGTAAATACTTGCTTCCGCTGAATTCTTACTTCTATTTCTTACCAAAACACAAAGAACCCTAGCGAAAGAGAAACGACAGAGATCAACATGTATGCAAAAGTACGACACACTCCCCGTCAAGTTGTCCTGGAAAGGAAGGGGATATTCCTCTAAAAACTGGTTCTGTTTCGCGCAATCCAGCAACTCCATCTTCATCGATGGTCCCCACAATCACGGTGGACACGACACTTTGTGCGCAGTCAACGACAATGACCGGTCTTTGGTACGAAATGCCGCAGACAACACCGGCGTGTGTTTCGTCACGAGGATGTGGTCGAGGAAGATGAATGTCCCCCATTCCTGGCTGTATGCTAGTCGATAATCAGATGCCCAAGGGCAGTCTTTCATTGTGTTCTCCCAGTCCAATTCGGACCATGCATCGAAGGGCCTTTCAAACCAGGGCATAACGCTCCTCCAAGGGTCCGTGTCGAAGTCTTCTCTACGGGCCCTAAGTATAGTTGTCTCCCGCCTTGAACCTCGCAGGTACCTTGCGCTAGCATTCAAAGGGAACGAGTAATCGAAGCGGTGAGCCATCGCAAACGTCCTACACACACAGACGATTGACGACCACAACAGGGAGCCATTGCTAAGGTCGAACGCGCTCACACATCGAGGAGCCATCGCAGTTACACACAACAACCAGGCATTGCGAATTCCCAAAACAGAAGGAGAAAACACACAGAACGACAAATTCTATCGGCGACTATCCATTGTCGCGTTCCTTGCGACGAGGCCGATGACGGACAATCGAGAAGCTCAAACGGATGGCCAGAGGCCTTGGCTCTTGCCGGCGGACGAGTTCGTAGAGCTTGTCTCGACTCCGGCCGGCTTGCCATCGTCGAGTTGTACTCGACAATGGCCAGCATGCCGTCGTCGAGTAGAACTCGACAGCGGTCAGCATGGGGCCATTGAGTCCAACACATCGACAGCGGCATGTCATATGGCCATTGTCGAGTCGAACACGACAACGGACCGTGGTCATCGAGTCGGACTCGACAACGGCCCCGGGCATTTGTCGAGTTCGACTCGACGTCGGTCGTACGACTTGGCGCTGGTCCACCGTCGCTTTTGACTCGACGGCCTGGGCTCATCGTCGGGTCGGACTCGACAATGCCGAGACGAAATCGACGACGCCCTGAGGTCATCGTCGAGTCCGACTCGACAGTGGCTGGAGTCTTTGGCGCTTCCCTTCCGTCGTGTTCGACTCGACGACCGATGGCGACGGCCTGGCCATTGTCGAATCCTACTCGACGGTGACCCCAGGCCGTCATGTATTCCATCTCTACAATAACTCGTGTCCTTTGTCGTTCCCGACTAGATAATGACCACAGACCGTTGTCGAGTCCGTCTCGACGACGTCACCGGGCCATTATCGAGTTCGATTCGACAATGACCAAAGGCCGTTGTCGAGTCCGGTACGACGACGACCCCGGGCCATTGTCGTGTTCGCTTCGACATTTACCACAGGCCATTGTCGAGTTCGACTCGACAATGGTCTGTGGTCAGAACATTGTCGAGTTCACTTCGACAATGACCCCGGGCCATTGTCGAGTTCGACTCGACGATGACCACAGGATGTCGAGTCCGACTTGACGATGACTCCGGGCCATTGTCGAGTTCGACTCGACAATGAACACAGGCCATTGTCGAGTCCAACTCGATGATGACCCCGGCCCATTGTCGAGTCTGACTCGATGATGACCCCGGGCCATTGTCGAGTTCGACTCGACAATGCCCCCGTCGAGTTCGACTCGACGGCGGCCTCTGCATGGGCGGAGATGCCACGTGGCAGCACGTAGTTGCTTCAGGGCGGTTTACCGTTCTCCCAGGCCTCCGCTGCTGCCTTCAATGCGGATGCTCGTCACTTCGCTCCGATGCTGCGCGAACCTCTGATGTGCGAGAGAGATCTCCGTTGCCTTCTGCGCAAGCCTCTGATGTGCGAGTCAGCGCTCCGCCGGCTTTGGACACTTCGCGAACCTCCGCAACGCTCCGTTGCTCTCGACGAACTTGCAGAAATGGGAGATGGTGGGCCCACACCACTATGTATACTTTCTGTGGAAGGCCTGCGGGGGAATGCGGCCTGCGGGGTGTGGGTTCGGGACCCGGTGCCTCGGGGGGATCAGTGCCGCGGGACCGACGTTTCGAATCCCGGAAAAATCTAGGCCGTCGATCCGTCGGTTGAGAGCCAGGATCGGGTGCGGGGAAAACAGGTGTCGCGGTGAGAATCGTTGCCCAGCGGGCGACGATTCGAATCCCGGGAAAGTCTGGGCCGTCGATCCGTCGACTGAGGGCCAGGATCGGGTGAGGGGAGAACTAGTGCCGAGGTGGGAGTTGATGCCAAGGGGGGCGACGATTCGGCTGCCGGTGCCGTCTAAGACTCTTAAAACGGGCTCCGCATGAGGATCCAAGGGTCTTTTCCCTTGGGTCGCTCCCAGACAAAAGGCCGGTGCAGTGTCACCTTCGTGTCGACGCGAAAGACAACTGCGTTGCTCCGCCACG